TTTTCACTTTTAAATTTTTTCAATATTTTTTCTAGCCAAAAGTGGAAAAATGAGGTAAAAGCCTTTATGGATTCTTTCAGTAACATGTTAAACTTCTATGTACTCTGAAGATAGATCCTTTTATTGTTTTAGTGGTATTTCCTTATTTTATGAATGAACAGGAAAAAAAAAATGAACTGCTATCAAGAGGTAAAATATTTGCTATGGTCTGAATATTTGTTTCACCCTAAATTCACATTTTGAATCCCTAACCTCCAAGGTGATGGTATTAGATGGGCCTCTGGGTGGTGGTTAGGATGTGCAGGTGGAAAAGCCTTCAGGAATAAGATCGGTGCCCTTGTAAAAGAAGCCTCAGGCAGACCGCTGGTTCCTTCTGCCATGGAGAGCTCAGCCAGAAGGTACTGAAGAGGTGTCAGCAGACCCTGAATCTGCTGACACATTGTTCTTGGACTTTCCAGCCTCCAGAACTGTGAATGTAAATTCCTGTTGTATAGCAGCTATGTGTCTGTGGTGCTGATTATAGCAGACTAAACACTGTGAAACAAGGATCCTCCAACATGAACCCATCCTGGAGTTTACTCTTAATTTAACTTCCATGCAATAAACAATTGACTCTCTAGTTCCTAAACTGGGTAATCCAGAGTTCCTTTTAACTTATAAGCTTTATTTTATGTAAATATCTCAAATGACTGCTTTATTAGAAATGTTATAAAAAGTATCAGAAATATGCCACATTTCAAATTACCGGGCATTTATTAATCATTTATATTTCAATAATTCTTTAATATAAATGGATTGCTTAGTTTTAAACATTACAACTACTCAATATAAACAAACATAATGATGCTATAATTAAACATGTCTGAATAAAGTTAAGGCATAGGAAGATGACTTTTAAATGTGCAGTGCGGTACCAGTTTTCTATTTTCATTAGTTGTCATGTATCTTGCCATGTCCTTTATCTGCTTGTGAATTTACAAGTAACACAGCAGGTTGTGAATTTTTAATAGGCTTTCCTCAAGGAAAGAAAAGGTCAGTATTAACATAAAATTCTTCTTAAAGATTTGTGGCACAAATGTTTCACACCGGAAAACAGGTGTTACTGAGAAACTAAAGTCATAATAATCTAATATTTTTTCCCTGTTTAAAGAAAACTTAGTGTCATATAATAAAATAGCACAAGACAAGTTCTTATAAAAGTTATTTCTCGGTAAGTAGGTGCTGTAAGTTTTTTAACACATGTTCCATTGATGTCTCTTCTCTGCAACAAAAATAAGTGATCTTATTCAATTAAATGTTTAACAAATTCAAGTACTGAGGACTCACATCCAAATAAAAAAAGGGAAGAGTAATTAGAGGGTTACAATTATAATAATTAATTATTGTCTGAACTTACTAAATGAGGTAGAACAGGAAGTCACACATACACAGAATGACGGAAGGAAACAATGCCAGTGCACATGTGAATAGAGTATGCTCAGAAAAGATGATTGGAAACTAAGGAGATATGTAAAAATAGAGGAGAAGGATTGCCCATTTGTCTCTTCCTGTATCTGCTAGGAAAGCATCAGCATTCAGTGTACCTGCAAGGAGTTGCCTTTAACAACTCATGGGTTTCATCTTTGAGAAGAGGCATTTTCTCCAATCTTGGGAGTATAGGAATTCATCTGACTCATTTAGTATAACAGATGTCAATTTTAGTTTTTTACTTATACATTTCTCAATTTAAAAAAAAAAAAAACCCTTCTATCATAAAACATAGGTTAATATCAAGACTGTAAATAAGGTCATTTTAATCTTTGTTTTCTTTTTGTTTGTTTTTAGTTGTAAATGGACACAGTACCTTTATTTTATTTATTTATTTTTAGGTGGTGCTGATGCTTGAACCCATTGTCTCACACATGACATGCTAGCCAAAAGCTCTACCTCTGAGCTACATGCTCAGACCCAATATTTGTTTTTCTTTTTCTTTTCTTTGTTTCTTTTTTTTTTTTTAATTTCTTTGCTTTCCGTCTTTTTAATTTTTTTTTTTCGGTACTTGAAATTTAATGCAGGGACACTCTTCCAGTGATTTACATCCCCAGCCCTTTTTAATTTTTATTTTGAGACAGTGTCTGGCTAAGTTGTTAAAGGTGGCCTCAAATTGCAAATCTTCCTGCCTTAACCTCCCTGGCAGCTGGGATTACAGCCATTTATCACAACATCCAGCTTCATGTTTTACTCTTTTTAAAAATGTTTATTTATTTCTTACTCTTAACTAATATAATAGAGTTTACTTGTGTACCTCTGTAAGCAAAGTTTTCTTTAAATACAAATTATTATCACTTCAATATCGTATAGTTCAAAAAAATTATTATGTCTATAGTTTCTTAACAATAAAACACAAATACATAGAGAAAATTAATGAGACGGTTACAGTTATAACTATTTGCTTCTCTTAGTTATATTTCTGTTGGAGAAAGTAGACATACTTCATTTTTAAATTTTTAATGTCACAGTCTGACTTACAATCCTCATCTCTTTGATACCCTGCTACATGTACAATTTTCTAATCCAATGGAAACTCCCACAGTATGTGATCCAATTATAGAATCTAATTTTTACTCTCTGTAGTATAATATAAGTAAAAGTAAAAATCCTACTGTGATTTATATTCTAAAATTCAGCATTATAGAAATTAATATCTCACCATATGAGCAGCTTTTTAAGTATGTTTAACTGATTAGAATAGTTGAACTGATTTTAATCAGTTTCATATCTTGCTTTATATCCTTGACCAAAATCTATGTTCTATATTCATCCTCTGTTCTAAGATGTGAAATTTGTAAAATGGAAAAACTTTTCCCAGTTCAGATGTCTTCTCATTCTTTATTAGGTAGTTTGGGTGTGTATACTTAACAAACCCTCCATTATTCCTGTAGGCTAGTTTGGTAGCTGTCCTGTGAATATCCATCCACACCTTGTTTGAATCTTTCATTGAACTAGAATGAAATTTTTGATTTCTTTTAGTTGTACCTGACTCTTCTGATAATAAACAAATATTTATCCATTCAAATTACTGAATGAATAAAAAAAAATCAGAACTATCTACTGCAAACCATAAAGTTAACTGTTCAAATGATGGATATTGATATTATCAATGCTCGTTTCTTGAATTATTTTGATTCCCAGTCAGAAAGAAATGTGCAATTCCTAGATCTGCCATATGGAAAATTGCCACTGTGTGGTACATGCATATAGTTGAAAAGTTTCCCAGCAACTATGTGCATTTTCATTTACTAAAGAGCATCAATCTTGTGACTTTTTGAGAGTGGTTCCCTGGACAACACAATCATATGTTACTTCTGAGAGCTTTTCAGTTAAAAGTAGATATTTCCTGAGTTTTCCACCCCTACTTTACTGTTTATGAATAGCTAAAAATGTATTTAAAATTTTGTTCTCTAATTTCTTTATCTTTGTCTCTAAAGTGAATATGCCTTTTGGGTTTTCTGTCTTGCATTATATTTGTAATAATGAGTTATCAATCCTGAAATAAGAGAAATAAAAATATTTTTCAAGAGTTGATAGGTAAATACAAATTACTGATAATCATTAAAAATCAAACTACTTTTGTTGATAGTGATAATATTAGAAATTAAGAAAAATCTACAATTTATTAAATATTTCTTAAGGCAAATAATAAAAATTTGAACTGTAATATTTTGTTTCAAATAATAAAACTGTAATCCTAACATGAAAATGTTTACTGGTTGTGTGCTACAACTGAAGAAAACCTTACAATCCTTGTGGTTTTCAAAGCCAAACTTCGTCCTTCCTATGGCCAACCTCCTCCTTTAAGGACACAAATCCAGTGGAAGGCAAGAGATACACTCACTAGAATCCATATCCATTTTTATAATCCACAATGCATGAGGGACACATTACTACCTGCTCAAACATCCTTGGGCTTCCTTTAGGTTCTATGGGTATCTCTTCTCCAGGTCTTCTTAAGACCAAATTCACTCACTGATACCTGTATTCATATGTCTGAGGGCTGACCTTATAGGTGGGTATCTGGTGAAAGGCAGAATATACGGAACTTTCCCATGACACACAGATTCCTGGGTTTGCATTTGTACTCACTGTGATGGTACTGGAATGGGATGTCCATGTGGATGCATGAAAAGCTCTTTGATGTAATGAATTAATTTTGAAAGATTAAGTGTAGTTTTCTTTGGACATAGGCAAGGAAGAAAGAAAAAGACTTGCCCTGCATTGTCTTGCCATTTAAGGATTTTAAGAAGATAGATTTGATAAGGCAAGAAGCCAGAACATATTTTATTTTATAGTTTCCTATTTTTTTCAGTAATAAGGATCAAATAATTTTTAATTTGACTTATGACATATATATTGTATGTTTTATGTAGATTTCTATCTGAACTTGTGCTATGAGACCTACAAACATTTATGAGGTAGTCACTGTCTTTTGTTTGAACCAAAAATGATGTATATTTTTCCTAAAGTATACACTATGTTTTTCAGCTTTGTCTATCTTACAAATCCTAAAATATTTCTAATTCACCGATAGAAATACAATGACTGACAATAAGTTTGTAGAAGGTGAAATTCCTGCAAAATATGAGAGTTAAAGACTTTTCCATACAGCAAAAGATTGAGAGAACTATGTTTACAACAACACATCAAGACTGATGGTTGCTGTCTCAATCAGATTTATTTGCCCATGAAAATGGTTATTTACCAAGTAAAGGGAAGAAGGGATTTGGTTCATTTTATTACTTTTTCCCATTTATAAAAAAAAATCTCAATGATACATAAAAGACTATTCCTGGTGCTTAAAGCATATAAATGAGTGTTATCAAACCTATTCAACTCTCATTTCCAGAAGTAAGATTACTGACCCCATTATTCTGTGATGGGATTTGAAGGACCTTCTTTGAATTCTTTCAGCATTATTCGCCTTTAAACGTTATCATGGAAATGCTCATTTTTATTTCCCATAGCTTCATTCAGACCAAGATAAAGGAGATGGATCACTCAAATATATTTTATCTGGAGATGGAGCTGGAACTCTTTTTATTATTGATGAAAAAACAGGTGATATTCATGCCACAAGAAGAATTGATAGGGAGGAAAAGGCCTTTTACACTCTACGTGCACAAGCAATTAACAGAAGAACTCTGCGGCCAGTGGAGCCAGAATCTGAATTTGTGATAAAAATCCATGATATCAATGACAATGAACCAACATTTCCAGAAGAAATTTACACAGCTAGTGTTCCTGAAATGTCTGTTGTAGGTAAGTTCATTTACAGCATTATGAAGATATTTAAAACATGAAAAATTTCAAGAAATACTTAAAATATTAGGATAAATTAACTGAAAACATTTTTATATTCCTTATCAAGACTTCATGTTTAACATTATTTTAGTTAGGAAATAAGGAAAAAAGAAATTAATGCATTTCACAGTGCTTGTGAATTTGTAAATCATATATATATATATATATATATATATATATATGATCTTCTTTTAAAAATTAATTAAAAATTGACTTTCGATAAAAAAATGTGAAAATATTAATTTTTGTCACATGGATTTGTATAACAGTTGTGTAAAATTCTGTCCTAGGATATAATTATAGTCATCTCTTTCTTTCCACAAAGGCTGGTTCAGGGCTGCCCACAGATACTGAAATTCTTGGATGCTCAATTTCCTCATATAAAATGGCACAGTATTTGCATACAATGAATGCCCATCCACACATGTATTTTAAATCATTTCTAGATTATTTATAATACCTACTGCAATGAAAATGCTATAGAAATAGTAGCTATACTACATTGGATAGAGACTATTACAAGAAAAACTCCTACTCATATTCAGTAGATATATATTTTTTAAAAATATTTTTGAACCCAGGAAAATTGAGTCCTAAAATAAAGAACCTGCAGATATAGGTGACCAATGATTTCAAGAATACTATTGCGTGGTGCAGTGGTTCACACATGTAAAGCCAGTCACTGGAGAGGTGGAGGCAAGAGGATTCTAATCCTGAGGCCAGCCTGGGTAGCTTACTGAAAACCTGTCTCAGAATAAATAAAAAGATTGGGGTTTATGGCACAGTGGAAGACCATTTGGCTAGCATTCACGAGGCCTTGGGTTTAATTCCAGTACCACATACACACAAGAAAAATATTACTATTAATGCAATATAGAATTTTATCTATGTATATTAGTTACGAATTACCAAAAGAGTTTATTTAGCTTATCTATATATACCAAATGATGGAATTCAATTACTGATTTATTTCTTACTATGTATTAAGATACTCATTTATTATAACACATACATATATGTATTTGTATATATAAAATATACATGTATATAAAAATATACAATATATTTAAAACTGCTGATATGAATCTCAAATTGAAATAAACCCCCAGTTGAAAACACACAATTAATCATTTGCTGGTAGAGAATTACAAGGTTGAATTTTGAAACTTATAAAACAGAAGTCATGAAAAGGGTAATATTCAAAAAAGTGAATTTTACTTTTTCACTTTAAATAAAAATAAATATATTTGTAGGAGAATAATGCTAATACTGTCATTTTTAATTAGATAGAGGATGACAAAGAATTAAATGCACCACGAAATTCAGATAATATTTTTAGAGAGACACATTTGAATTTAATACAAATACACACTTTTCAAATGTATGTGCATTTTTTAAACTGATGTGACTGCTATGATGATTTTGGTTTTTTTACATGTAACAATTTAAATAGTAAAGTTTTAAACTGCAATTCTCAAAAGATTTGGTCTGGATTGTTATTTAATGTTTACTTACTAAATTCCAAAGGCTTGGGACAATCACCTAACTCTAAAGCCCTTGTAAATATCATGAACTTTATTAGATTTTAGTAGTTCATGAAAATTAGGATCATCTTAGATTGTTTCTAAGTTTAGAATTTAATATATTCATAAAGATGTATTCTAGATCAGATGTTAATTATTTTTTAGAGTTAATTAGTGCAGGGGTGAGGAAGAGAACAGACTTATTCCTTTGTGCTTAGATATGCCCTTTACAAAAAAACAAATCTATTATATGAAAATAAATTTAAATATCAAAACTGAGAATTTGAAAAATTATCATATTTGTAACATTTGAAAAACTGCACCATTATCTATTTCATACATATAAAAATACTGTTGATTAAATATAGATTATGTAGTTGAACTTAAAATTGAACTGCAGTAACACCATATAAATATAAAAATCAAATATTTATATTTTATCACCTTACTATAAAGCCCTTATAAATATGAACTTTATTTTAGTAGTTCATGAAATACACACACACACATACACATATATTTGATTTTCATCCAAATTATATGTAAAAGTTTCATTAAGGGGTCATTATTAAAGACAAACATCAATGAAGTCTTCAATGAAAACGAGTGCTTTTGCTCCTCCTTCTGGTACTGTGCAGAACTAAGCTGAGTTTGGATACTTCAGGTACTTCTGTGGTGCAAGTCACAGCTACAGATGCCGATGACCCTTCCTACGGGAACAGCGCCAGAGTCATTTACAGCATACTTCAAGGGCAGCCCTATTTCTCTGTGGAGCCGGAAACAGGTCAGGAATAATGAATCGGTGTTCGTTCATTTAACCATCTTTGTGATCTTTATTAGTACAGAGAGGGGAAAATGAGAACAAAGCATTAATACTCAGGAAAGTTTGAGGATGCCACAATTAAAGATGACAAAATTCAATGTTAAAATATCAAATGTGCTAATGGAAATGTAATTGTTTTGGTGTTTTTACATATGGATTCAGATGACTCTAGAATACACTGGGAACTGCTAGAAAATATTTATATGGAATTATTTTTACAATTAATAGAAATCAATATCAAAAGAATATCTTTTAAAAATTCACTAGTCTAAAATACTACTTGTGAGCTGAATCAAATAATAACTGAAAATCCAGTTAGAATAATGAAAGTATTTGTATTTTCTTCAAGGTATCATCAGAACTGCTTTACCAAATATGAACAGAGAAAACAGAGAACAATACCAGGTGGTCATCCAAGCCAAAGACATGGGTGGCCAGATGGGAGGTTTGTCTGGGACCACCACAGTGAACATCACACTGACAGACGTCAATGACAATCCACCTCGCTTCCCACAGAGTAAGTGGCCTTTAATGGTCATTTATGTTCATTCTGCAGAAAGTTTTAGAAATTTTTCTTAAAGTTTTAGAAAAATTAAAAAAAATAGAGTTAAAAGAAGAAATAAAATAGGAACTATCAATTTTATTTGAAACACTTGAAAATGTGCTATACAAATGAACTAAAACTATATGTTGATGAGTTCACTGTTATTCAAAATAAAATGAAATATTTCAGGCATATTTTATTCAGACAGGAGCTGTGATTAACAAACATCTTTATATTTATACATTTAGTTTAATATTTTACTGAAAATGCACTGTTATAATTAACAATTCACTCCTCTCTATTTAGAACTTAATAAAAGGACCCTAGCTTAAAGGTAAATTTTTATGATACAAAATATAATTTGACAAATTATAAATACTTCATCAGAAAGGGCTATATAGAAAAATCTTCTAAAACCTGAGAAATATTTCCAATCACTGTGTATTTAATGTCGACTATTAACACTTCAAATCCTCAAAATAAATGCAGAATATATTAAGACCCCCTAGCTTCTGCCCTTATAATACATACATTTATTCTTCTTTGTTTCTTGTACAAATTTGTGTGACTACATGCCTAATTGTGCATAGAGAGAATGATAATGAGTCTCAGTGGACACACCCAAGACCAAATCAATTTTTTTTCTATTCTAAAAGAGCCTGTACTTCAAGATGGAATTTAATGTTGTTAAAAATGAGACATAAAAATCAAATTCTAGTGATAATCTAATTCCTCATCATTTGCTGAATATTTACTTCTAAATATATCTCCAATTTCAGTTAGTGTTTTGGTTTAAATATTTCCCTAATAAAATATTAAAATATAAAATGCAATGGCTTTTTTGTGATGTTTGTATCTTTGAAGACTATTACTCAGAATGAATGATAGTGTAAGAATTCACTGTGTTTTTTTTTTTTTTTTTTTTTTTTGCTATTTATTTATATACTTTTGTAGTTCTAGATGGACAGTTATAGCCCCAGCACTGTTTGATGATTTGAAAGCATTTTATTCTTTTCTCTGTTTTTTGTAATCAAAATGTGATTATTAGTAGTGTATTTTTTGAATTATATTGCCTACAATTACTTATGTGAAGGAATGTTAAGTTCAGATAGAACCTTCTTCAGAAGACCAATTGCCTGCCTCTATACCCATGGCGACTGCTTGCTTGGTGTTTGATGCAAGTGCCCATCACACATAAGGTTGAGCCCAGAACAATGAGGAAGGCATCCATGTACTCTATTTTCAAAAAATCAGGTTTCATCTCCACATTATCTTTGTCAATTTACAAGAAAAAGCAAACTGATAATAAATACACATAATTCCATTAAACAGGTTTAAAGATATAAACAATTTAAAAAAAAATTCATAACAGGAAAAAAAGAACACTGTAAATATACAAGATCATTAAGATGGAGAAAGAAGGACTGAGGGAGGGAGGAGGGGAAGGCGAGTAAGGTATTGGGGAGTGAAATTGATCAAATTTTGTTTTAATGTATGTATGAACATACCATATTAAAACCCACCATTCTGTATAATTAATATGCACCAATTAAAAAATAAATAAAACAAATTTTGGATTACATATGTATTCCTGGCCACCTCTTATCTTGAGCCTTTTACCAGGAGAATGAACATGAAAATTGAAGAGAATAAGCCATAACTAATTAATTTCACAATGTACAATGAGCAAAGTATTTTGGAAAAAAATGTATTTTATCAGTAGTTAATAATCATTTAGATTAGTACTGTATTCTTAAATTCTCAGTAGTCTAAAATGCAGTCCATTCACTAATGGCACATTTGATAAGCAAATATATAGATTCTAATTAAATGAAGAAAATTAGACATTTTATAGGCAGTAATGATCAATGAAAATACACTTGATTATGTTTTCAATTGCTGTGAGTCCTTTATTCATTCATTTAATAAACATTTCCTTTCATTTTATTAACTTGAAATTTTTGATTGCCATCTCTTAGGCACAATATATAAAACCTGCTGTAATAATAGTGGCAATAATAATCATTAGGATGCTAATAATAATGAAAGGAAAAAACTGCAATAATTTTTGCATTTTCTAAATGGCATTTTTACAGGACACTGTGCCATATTATTTATTGACCTACCTTATTTAATCAGAACAAGTCATTCAGATCAGTGTTATGATCTCAATTATATAAATGAGAAGAAAATGAGTGGTTAAAGATGTTAAGGCCAAAGTGATAGTTATGACAGAGATGTGTTGACATCAATGTTCAATTCTAAATGTGAAGCACAATATATTTAAAGGGATTTTAGCACATCCTGCTTCCTGACTCATTATTTTAAAATATGGATGGAAACATAATTTAGTGATTTTTATTTGCTAAATTATATTTTATATTACAAACATTTGCAACTGTATCTGACTGTTGGGAACACTCAGTCATGGCAATTAGAATGTCATTTGATAGCCTAAATCATCTAACATTCAAGAAACTTGATTTTAATTTCTAATATCATTTTATTAGATACACAAAGTTAGTTCTGTTTATGTAATCTTTCATGTGTAATATATCATAGAAATCTCATACTAACTTTGAAACTAAGAGTGGGTATAATAAAGAGAACAAAGAGAGAAAACCAATGCTGTCTATTAACAATATAATGTAAATTTAGAATGTTTGCTACATGTGTAAATTTTCTATCAGCCATGTTAAAAAAATAAGCAAGACAGGAGGAATTTATTTTAATTATATATATGTATTTTTTAAATTTATTTTGGTGTATATGGACACAACACAATGCATTTTATTTTTATGTGGTGCTGAGGATCAAACCCGGGTCCCACCTGTGCTAGGCGAGCACTCTACCGCTGAGACACAATCCCAGCCCTAATTATATATTTTTTAATGCAATATTGTCCTTTATATATGTCATCAGTATAGGACACAGTTAGATAGTTTTCCATTCTTTTTCCCCTCCAAATCTTATATTTGGGTCAAATATATTCCACTGTCATCAAATTTTAATTCAGATGAACTGCATTTTCAATGCATAGCACAAGAGTTTTAGTGATTTGATTGTAACCTGCCATATTTGCAGTTCAGGAGCAGACCCTGCGATCAACCTGCATGAGACTCAGTGATCTCATACTTCTAGGAGCATTTTCACCTTGATGAACTGAACTGCACTTTCTATTTTCCAGTGTCATTAGTTACACTGGACACTAGTATATACTTTGTGGCCTGATGTAAGACTAAATAAATAACTCTCTGAGGCATTGACTCACCGTCTAGCACTTAGTTTATTTATTTAGTGTCCATTAATGTTGATCTGTGCAAGTGCTGCTCTTTTAGCATCTTCATCTTTAAATGTTATAAAAGTAGAGTCAAAAGCTTTCAATAAAGTTGAATCATCCAAATTTAATATTTCTGAATATGCTGCATAAATACTTCTGTCATTTAGAAGGGACAGGGACCCATGCAAGCTAAGATGTCCTGAATCATTTGTTTGTTTATTTTATTGTGTGAATTTATAACAGTGGTTCTCAGTTTAGGGCAATTTTGCCTGCAAGATGTCAATTGTCAATATCTTGACATATTTTTTTTGTGTTACCTGGTGGGTCCTACTGACATCTAGTGGATGGATGCTGGGGAGGCTGCTAAGAATCCTTACAATACAAAAGACAATTATTTAAGCCAACATATCAATAATATTTAGGTTGACATTTTTAAATATGTTAAACGAATAACAATTAATTCATGTAACTCAAAATATTTTTTCTAAGGTTGCCTAAATAAGTTTAAAAACTGAAAGTGCATAAAATTAGGCAATTTGATTTTCCTGAACCTCAATCCCTGTATATAAATCACTTGTTACTCATAATAATGTTGCAAATAATCAATAAGGTCACATAAATAAAATGGCTTCAGTAGTTCTCAAAGCATATAATAGTATTTCAATACATGGATTTCCTCTTGAGAAGGAAAAGGGTAAATATCAAGGATTATATCTCAGTTTTCAAATTTTAGTGTTTTTCTTGTTCTGATGCCAAGCTGCCATTTATTTATGGCCAAATATTAAATAAAAACACCTCAAACCTGGAAAGATATATAATCATGAGTTTCACAATAAATTAAATGTGCTTGTCTCATAAATAACTGCTTAACACTATCTTTAATGAGGACTACAGGGCAAATTAGTCAAATATTCAATGTTCCATGAGATTTGCTATTTCATTTTACAAAAGTTAGAAAGATATTATATGTCCATACATTAAATATATTTGTAATGCATCCCCATTTGAATATTTTAGCCCTATCCATCCTATTTTGTTCACTTTCTATATGAATTTTCTAAAATCATAATAAAACCAAATAGGCTTTATGGAAGTAATCTAAGCAAATATTAAATTACTGTAACTAGATCATTGTATTTGGCAAAAGCAACTGGACAACAGGATTTTTTTCAAAATTACATTTTATTTATTTATTTTTAATAAAAACATCCCTGGGAAAATAATTCAATTTTGAGTCTAGAGTCATTCATTGTGTGAGGGATATCTCATCTATAGTGAGCATGCTAGGCCCAGCATTCTTACTTTAATGTTGCAGAGAACAGCTGCAGGACTCTACTCTCAAATTCTTTCAAGCAAAACAAAACAAAAACACCAGAAAGGAAGACCCTCTTCTAGAGAAAAAGAGTTTGCAAAAGCAGTTAAACCGGTGGTCAGGTTTCCATTCACCTAGTTAGTGTCTAAGATTTGGCTCTAGTTTTTGAAGGAACTGCAAGTGTCAAGATAGCAAAAGGACTCAAGAGACACGATTTGGTATCCAAGACTAGCATCTGAGACTCAGGCAAAACATACAGACCTGACCCACAAATGGGTTGCAAACCCTTGCACAATTTTCAGAGGCCATAGCTATTTACACAACACTGAAACAAAATACAAAGAGAACAGATTACTTTACATTCTAGCTAAGGATGTGTCT